GCATATTTAGTGTTTCTGTTTTAATATTTAGATCTCTGATCCATTTTGACTTTAGTTTGGTGCATGGTGATAGACATGGGTCTAGTTTTAGTTTTCAGTGTATGGAAAGCCAGTATTTCCAGCACCGCTTATTAAAGAGGCTATCTTTCTTCCAGTGAGCATGTTTGGCCCCTTTGTCAAAGATAAGGTTGCTGAGTGTGTTTCTGGTTGTGGCTGTACCTTTAACCTATTCCACTGGTCTTTAGGCTTGTTTTACTCCAGCACTATGTTGATTTTATCACAGTAGCTTTGTAGTATAACTTCAAGTCAGGGATTGTGATGCCTCCTGCTTTGCCCTTGTTGCCCAGAATTGCCTTTGCTATTCGATGTCTCTTCTGGTTCCAGGTGAATTTTAGGACTGATTTCTCTAGATCTGTGAGGTATGCTAGTGGAATTTTGATTGGAATTGCATTAAATCTCTATAGATGTTTCAGACAGATGTCTCAGTTCTTAATTGGCTGGGTCCAAGGAAGGGTGGCATATGACACAGGAGCAATGGTTCATGGTCATGGGAGACAGTGAAAGAAGAGAGAGAGGGAGAGAGAGAGAGAGAGAGAGAGAGAGAGAGAGAGAGAGAGAGACAAAGAAGAAGAGACACACTTATTTCTATCCCTTGCACTATACATAGGCTACCCATCTAGGGCAGGTGTAGCATTTATGCCATTAATCCCACCACTGAACTGTGAATCAGACAATCTAAATTCAGTTGTCTCTTTTTTAAAATTTTATTTAAAAGGAAAAAGAGAAAAACACAGAACAAAACAAAGCGGTGTAAGGGTACACGTAATAGAGAACTACAAAAAAAAAAAAAACCCCAGTAAGAAATCACCTGTTAATAGATTACATATTATCATCTTAGAAATAGTTGCTCAAATCACAGTATCAAAGACTACAAAGTGGACATTCAAACAGAGAGACTGCAAACAGCTGTGTTCAATGATCCAAAAACATTAATATAGTCTGCTATTTAACACCCCTAAACACACTTGCAGTTGTCTCTTAAAAAGTGCTATCTAAAACTGTGTGAGGCTTTGGAGACACAAACTATTACATTCTGTCTTTGAGCCCATAAAAAGTCATGGGCATTCCTTTATGAAAAAAGCATTTAGTTCATCTCTAAGCATTGCCAAAGTTCTAATTGTTTTAGTGTTGCTGGAAAGCCCAAGTCCCAAAACCCCTCTGAGATTTAAGGTAAACTAATTAGCTGTGAGCCCCCATATAAATGAAAAGAAACTTAAACACTTTCAGCATTCAATGGCACAGATAGACGTTTCAATTCCAGAAGTTACAATTAGGGGAATACAAAGGAATGAGACCAAAGAAAGTAAAAATAATCCAGCAGGGCTAATGTTCAGATTTGTAGTTCCATGCCCAGAGCCTTAAGTAATGTGTGGCAAGATGCAAGCTACAATGGGCCTGAGTGGCTCTGTTTCCCAGTGGTTGTAGTTTCCATGGTTTGTTCTTGTGATTTCTCTCCTCCTTCCTTGAAGTTTTCCTCAGAAAATCCACATTCTTGGTTTCTCCAAACTTCTGGAGTCTCCATGTACCTGTGGCTTCACACTTACAGATTCATGTACTGTGTTCTCTGGGGTACACTGCCTGGCAGCCCAAGCCTCCTTCTGAAATCTGGGTGTAAGACTTCCTGACTCCACAACTCTTCCATTCTGCATGCACTTTAGCCAGCATAAGGTGGATGATATCAAGCTCTGTCACTAGCTGGTGAATTACCTATATTATCCTTGTTTTGACTATGGGAATTAAAGGTCTGGAACACTGGGAATTTTGAATCTAATTTTGAGAAATATTTTTGTATACCACTGCCTTTCTAGAATGTACTGCAGCCACCACCATTCTGGAACATGGTTCTCTGTGACTTTCTTTTCAAAGCAAAGTTTTTCATGATTGCAATTGGAAAGGCTATAGTCCTGCTGCTTCTTGTGATAATCGCAGGCCATCTTTTCTACTCTCCTGTTACTTCTCAGCAATCAAGATCTCCTCTTCTCTATCTTTGCAGTCTGAAGCTTTACTGGCGCTTCCTTTCTAGCCAAGCTTCCAACACTTAAAATGAATCTGCTAGGATCCTTTGCTCTTGATTTTCAACATAAATCTGGTTACAAGTCCTCAGCACTAGCCATGTCTTCATGCCAACATTCATTGAAATTTATTCAACCTTCATTGAAATTTATTCTGCCAGATAAATTAATCCTCAGTTCTTAAACTCAATCTCAGGCAAAGTCTCTGGACATGAGCAAAATGCAGATAAACTTTCTGTTAAGCCATAACATTGATTGCCTGGAGTCCAACATCCAGTGCAGTTCTTCTTCCTAGCACAAATCTCTAGAGCCTGGTCTTTATTGGCAAAATGTCTATCAGCTGGCTTGTCTTATGAGCTCTGACCAGAATCTCCCATATAAAACTACCTAAGACATTCCAGCTCTACTTTTTTAGCCATTATCTCTGAACCTTTCCAATCCCTTCCCACAAGCCATCCCCAATGGCGTTTGAATCATATGGTGAGGTATAGTCACAGCAATGACCCCACAACTCTGGTATACAATTCTTAGTTACTTTTCTGTTTTTGCTGATACATAATACCTGACATCCACAAGTGAGGGAGAAAAGATTATTTAGCTCACTGTTTGTATAGATTTTAGTCTATAATTGGCTGAGTCCAAGGCAGTGTGGCACATAGCAAAGGGGTAACAGTTCATGGTGGTGAAGGACAGCAAAAGCAACAAAATGAGAGAAAGAGAGGGAGAGAGAGAGAGCGAGAGAGAGAGAGAGAGAGAGAGAGAGAGAGAGAGAGAGAGCGCTAATTCTGCCCCTTGTATTATATGCAGGCTACCAAACCTTGGGCTGGTGTAGCACTCATACCATTTTTAAAATTTTTTTTTATTTAAAGAAAGACAAAACAGAACAGAAGATGGGCAGAAATAGTACATAGTTTCAAAGAAAAGAAATAAACAGTAACAAATCACTAGTTGATGTATACATATTGTCCCCCCATAAATAGTTGTTCAAGATACAAAAGTGGAACATATAAATGGGAATTGAACCAGGGGGACTGCAAACAGTTCTGTTTAACTATCCAACAAAAGCTAAGTAATATGGCTATCAATCCTATACACTTAGACATGTATGCATTTATCCATATCTTCATTTATGTTGAGACCTAACAAAAATTATTAGATTAAAATCATTTTGAATAAAGATTAATAATGTTGCTGGATTTCACATCATGACACTCCGGAATCAGCACTGGGTACTGCAGGGCCCCTTTCTCTCCTTCAAAGTGTTTGTTCATTTCATCATGTGTCATAAGATCAGTTCTCATAAATTGTTTATAGATTTTATGCAAGTATGAGTCTTAACATGTGTTTCTATCCTTTTATATTAGAGGGAGAAACAGAACAAAGCACGGCCCTGCACTATGAATCAGTCACATACTCTGAATTCAGCTACCTCTGAAAAAGCCCCATCTAAAACTGCTTCAAGCTTTGCTGAAACATCTAGACTCAAACCATAACACCTCAGTTTCTTGAGCCATAACGTGACGACCTAGTTAAGGTTTGGAAATTGTGTACCCTGTTATGACACATTACATAAATAAATTCCTGGATTATCTCTGAATGCTCCAGTGGCAGCATAGCTTTTGATTTGCTTTATATCCTTGTTTTAGGTAATTCTCATTTGGGTGGTTGAATTTCACTGAATTTTATAAATATGCAAAGGGATATAAATCAATGTTTGTTTTAATTTATGTAGAATTTAGACAGATGGTTTTAACATTGAGCAGGTTTTATACCATCTACAATGACACTATCCACATGATACATATTTAAGTAAAAGTTTCCTAGGCTCACATCACATGCATTATATACTTCAGAAGAAAAAGCGTTTTATGAGAAATTCGAAATTCAGCAAGTATATGATCTCCATTGCTTATGTTCTGTTAAGACAAGCAAAATAATAGTATTAGTATTATTTTCAAAAAGAAACAACATTAAAATTTGGCGTTTAAATTATAATTTGAATAAAATGATACAAGAATTGTATTAGCTTTTTTCCCAAAACAAACAGAGATAGCAAAAATTTGAACTTGTTATATTCTATCACTACCTACTTCTACTTTGTATTTATAACCTCTCCATTTTTAAAAAAGTTCAAAATTTTATCAAGGGAAGACAATTCTTCTGCTGTTATCTATTGATATTAGTAAATGATGTGTGGGGAATCAAGATCATCATAATTTAGCTTTATGGTGTTTGCATTTATCTTTATCCCCATACAAAAGCAATACCATAGAAACTTATTTACCTGTTTAAGACACTAAGATACACTAACATACATCATGAAATATTCAGTGTTATTAAAGTCATAAAACTATTTACTCAGATTTTCTGATCTTTTTTTTTTTTTGGTACTGGAAATTGAATTCACCATCTTGTGCTAGTCAGACAGGTGCTGTCACCCTAAGCTATATTCCTGGCTCTTCTGTTCTTTTTAAAATTTTATACCATGAGTTTCTTGAGGTGTAACTGAAACTAAGTGTATATATGACAGATACAAACCAATAAATATCACCATAAATTGCACTAGTGAAATTATGAATTCAATAATTTACCAATCATTTTTCCACATATTTGTACTGCTTCCTTCATCTTTCTTCTATTTTGTCTGTTATCAAAAACCAGTAATATAAATAATATTCTTTAGATTTTGACACCAGATGAGATTTCCATATCTTAACAGTAAGGTTAAAATTAGAAACTTATGCCTCCTCAGGGAGACATACTCTTAAGCCATGTAGTATATGCTTATCAGGAACAATGTATCAAATTAAATAAGTTTAACAGAAAAAGCATGGCTATGTATATTTCATTACCCAGCAGACATTAAGAAGCAATATCCCTCATGAAACAAAAAAATTATTTACTAACTTTTCCCTACATGAATATGAGTCACTTGATCATTCGTCTTTTACTACTGATGAGCACCAAAGGACTGACTGTGGCATAGGCATTGCTAACCAGCATCAGGACACAATGATGAAATGGGTTATATTTCCATGTGATTGAGGACATGGAGTATATAACATAGTCCAAGCAGTACATAATAATAAAGAAACTCATGAGTAACAAAATCGTGCGGGTGGCCCTTTCTTCTGGGGATGCTTTTGAAGACAGACTGGTGCTGTGAAGATGCTGGGATTGTCTTTTATGTCTGCGTAAGAGAATCACCATATACCCACTTGAGAGCACCATGAGCCCTATCCAAGACATGTAGTGGAAAACCATCAGTGAGAAAAACATATACTTGAGAAAAGAACTAATAGACCAAAGGGAGCAGGATTTAGTAAGAAACATAAGACCATGTGAGGTCACATTGGAAGAGGCAACAGTGGAAATTAAGAAACGACTACTGATGAGCATATTCAAGACCCACAAAAACAGAAAGCAACACAGGACCTGATGCAAGGATTTCTGTTTGAACTTTGCCAAACAGGAGGTTCTGGGGCTGAGGGTGATGGCCTGGAGGACACTCAGCAGGCAGGTGGTACAGATGGAGATGTTCTGCATCAACCTATTCAAATAGACAACAGACGTACATGTGATGTCATCTCCCAAGTGCCAATATCCCAAAATGTCTATAGCTAGGAAACCCTCTGTTATGAGCAAGACTATGTGGATAAGGGCCAAGTGACCAATGGTCAGATCAGTAGGCCTGTGCCTGTGCTGCAGAAGGAATGGAAGGACATGAAAGAGAAAGAGAACTGTGTTGGCAATGATTCCAATGCTGGCTTCAAAAAAAACCATATGATGTACGTCAATGACACCAGTAAATCTACTGTTTTTGCTCATATTCATAGGAAAAGAAGCATATAGAATGTATCTGAGGAAAAAAGAGTGGACAATTCATCACAAATAGTTTCTCTTCAATCTCAATCAACATTAAACCTTCATCAAAATACACAGTTTCACCCTCATGTGTCATTTTTCCATGCCTATATTCAAGACTATCTTACATTCTCCAGGGTGTTTCTGGGTTCTCTCTCTGTCCCACTGTTTCCCAATCATGGCTGTACAATGGATCCCACTGGTCTCTCATACTACCTGTATTACATAATAGGAGTTGTATTATGGGATACATGTTTCCATTTTATGCTTGTCGTATTATGGAAAGTGTTTTCATGTTTTGTTTCACCTTTAATTTTCAAAGTCCACTGTTTCATTTGGCCTTGTATTTGTATGCATTTATTTAACATGTTAGTTTTGTCACATGATATGTCCAGAAAAAATTATCTTATTCAAATTATCTAGTTATCTCTGCTGTTTATAGATCACACAGTGAGAAAATACAAAAGCTGAAATCTTGTATTTCATGTAAAGAAATTATATACAATTATCAAATAGAATCCCCTTACTCTGTCATAAAAGATATCTTAGTATAATTTAAGAAAAGGTATTAATAGATATATAAAACAAAATGTTAAAAGAATGAAATGAAATAATTAAAAACTCCATTAAAATTTCATTTTTCATGTAATTTGTCTGAAATTGAGATCTTATTTAACTATGTTTCAAACAGCTTAGTTTCAATGAACATATAACTTTTAAAAACTATTCAAGGTTAACATCAAAATCTTCTAACAATGCATAGGATTGTATTATTTTTGTATTATTTAGGGGGATTTTTCTACTTTTGTACCTTGTTCCTACCTTTGTACAAATGTATGCAGATGTCCTTGACTTACACAACACTAAAAGTTGGTCTCCATTTTCCAGAGAACTAATCTAGAAAAGTGACAAAATTTGAGGCAGTCATTATCACTAAATCATCTTAGCTCCCACAAAACACTCTAAGAGATGAGAAAAAAAGACCAAGCATCCAAAAAAAAGACCAAATTTTATGATTCATACCAATATGCATTAGTAAAACATATATTCCAAGTATCTTTGTATTGTATCTGAATGTGATGCAAAGAAAGATATATAGCCACTTCTGTAGTAACGTATTATCTTACAACGAGACATATTCTGGAGAATATATGAAAGCAAAGTAAAATAATCTTACCCACACACTCATACTTACTTTGTCCAGCTCATACATGCATATTACATCACAGCTGAGGAGCTCAAGCAATGGGACAGGAAATCTCACTCTCAGCAGGATGATCTAGGAGACTGTCATAATATATTTCTTAGGACTGATGATGATGTTAAGGTACCCAAGAGACTTAACAAGCAGGTACAAAAATCTCATTCTGTATACCAGAGAGTTATCCTCAGCGAGTTTGGAGCTTAATAAGTAAATGAGTAAATCACAAGAAAATTAACACAAAAGAAAGATCTGGAAAACTTCTCATGCAGAAGGCCACTCTGGACGTGTGGTAGGAAAAGCCTATTGGGCAGCATGGGGATAAACTACATCAGAAGGGACAGGAAATAAGAAACACTAGAGAGAAACCTGTGCATTGATTTGGAGTGGTCCTCTCCAGGAGCCCCCATAACTCACAGTGAAGCCTGTTATACCCTCAGGAGAAACATCACACAGTGTGTATTCTCATTAATAACATGATCCAGGACTAATTCACAGAGATAGGTGCTATTTCTGCAATTTCTGAGGCTATAACACCATCTTGTGGTGGATGTCATCATGAAATTGGCAACAGGAAGAGAGCACAGGTAAGTGTACTTGAGGCAGTGGGTGAGTCCTCTACCACTTTTATGCAAATCTGTGTTTCTAACCTGTGGGTGAACTGATCACAGTGTGATAAAGAAGTCAAACAGGAAACCTCTCCTGCAAATGAGCAAATGAGCAAAATCTACATATTCCTCAGGAATGAAATGGCTTCTGTCCTGCACATAATCAGATATCTTAGCTGCCTTAAAAGGTCACTCAAAAGTTTCTTATTGCTGAACTCAAGAAGCCAACCTCTCATGACTGCCTTCAGCAGTATTCTTATGAATAAATGAATGTCAAATGAAAAATGGTCAGGGAGTGAGATTGAGAATGCATACAGCAGTCCAGTAGGTATGGGGTTGTATTTGTCTAAAAACTCCAGCATTTGACAGGATTGAAATTGGAAAAGTAAGAAGGGAGTAAGGGAGAAACAGCTGACCCTTAAGATGTAATCAATGTCATTACATCTAGATGGTCAGTCCTCAGCTCAGCGTTTGTGAAATTTGCCACTTCCAGGAAAAGGAAGAAGGACATTGCATGACTATTTGAGTCCATGAACATTAGTTAACCCACACTCCAAAACCAGTAAATTATCTATTGTTTTTCAAAATTCTAAAGACTGTAGCATATAGGGGGCTAGATCAAGTGGCTGATTATACTTCATGAGGACTTAGCAAGTATTTACCAAACATTACAGTATTTGCCAAGATGCTTAAATGCATGTTGGGCAATATCAAGAGAAGGTCATTGTTATTCCAAGGTACAGAAACTAGAAAACTTAGTAAATTTATCAAAGGACAGACTGTCATTTCTCAGAAATACTTCTGCACAAGCTCGTAATGAAATAAAAGCTATTTTGTGCTGTTATGAACCAGGATTCACTTTCATTCATCCTCATAATCCTTTTAATGTACAAAAAAGAAGTTTGCACATTTATCGATTGCTAAAAAGTGGCTAGTCAGTGTTGAGTGAAAGAATCTAACACTGACATACAGGGATCAGTGAAGTTGAACATATTTTGTTCTTAATTTTTCCCTCAAGAAATGGCTTTTTCACTATCAATAGCAGCAGAAACAGATTTTTTTTTAAAATAAGGAGATGGATAAAATATTATTGAGCAAGTGTTCTTTCTGTTTAAAAAAATTCTGGCAGAATGAATTCTTTGACTAATTTTGAAAGGCATGGAAAAGTCTGTGGTCATCAATTTGCTTTCTTTATTGCTAATATCATTGCCACCTAACTTTCCTTGTGTTCTGATGAGATTTATTGACAAGTAGAGCACATAGCTAACTACTGACACCATTAAGCAGAAACTCCTAAAATTAATAGTGGGAAAATGTTGAATATAAAAAAATGCTAATACCTATTTTGTAAGAATGAAGTTAAGCTCTCTGAAGATGCATTAAGAGGTAAGGCTTATTAACTATTAAGTTATTTAAAACCTATTGAATGAATGAATACAGATGGTATTAAATTATATTTAAAGTACCTTATAAAAATTCTAAGAAAAGCAAGAATATTTCATGAAGATTTCCAGATGTTGGGTCAGGCAGGCTGTCTTTGAGGGACTAGTGGTGCTCAACAACCTCGATCGTACACACCTGTATCTGTTGGTTCCTCACTTCCACTGCAGCAAAGAAAGAGCAAGTAAGGTCAGGCTGGCTCAGAGCCAAAGGCACTCAGCATAGAATAAAGAAGTCAGAAAGTGGTATGCAGAAATGAATGTAAACTGAGGAAAATTTTACTGTAAGGGAAAAATGCAGTGACTAGCTTCCAAGGAAAGGAAACTGTTATAATTAGATGAAAATTTCCATTCCTTGGAGTGGACTTGGATTCCACTGATACTTATGGTAAACTAGTCTCTAAAAACACCTTTTCACTGCTTGGTAGAACCTTAATTAATCATGGTCTTAGCCATTGTTTCTGGGTTGAGGAAATATCAGGATCCTGAGGGACACATAGTGAATTCATATAGTAATTTCAGAACAGCTGACTTACACATCACATGTCATATGACAAACTTGTGGGACATACACAACTACCAGCCACCCAGGCTATGTGTTATATCTTATCAGCTTTCTCTCTAACTATTCCCACTTCATGAAAGTTTCTTTTACAAAGGGTCTAAGTAGAAATTTTACAGCTCTACTCTGTAGTGACATTTTCTCTGAGAACTGATTTAGGTAATAAACCATGGTCACTGAATTCAGAGAAAAGCATTGCTTGACATTATCTTACTATTTCATAGGAATAAACTCACTAAGTTTATGAGTTATTAAATTAATTCACTAAGCACACTTATAATACAGTTGGCAATCATACTGCAGAGTTAAGCATCCTCCGAGCTGCCTGATGCCTAGAGCTGAAGAAGACACTGCTCAGCCAACTAATTATGCATCCCTTGAATATAGAGCCACTTACCTTCTGGGAAGTGTGGAAAGGTCCAGTGCATTTGAGAGGAGCCAGCTTAATTTTATGTCAAACTTATCACTAGCTTATTTCTCGACAGGCCTGTAACTTTATGACAACAGAATGATGATTGCACTGGGGAGGACAGAACTTTGCAGTCACTGGTGGAACATTTCACCTGTCTCTTAATATTATTTTATTCTCTGTGAGATCATAGCCATCTGAGGTGAGCTGTTTTCATAACTCTTCTCTACACATAACACGGAGTTTTAAAGGAACAGAATCACGTAGAATCATCCACTAAACACACTTATAAAATGATTTCTACTTGCACTGCAGAGTGAACCATCCTTTGATTCACATGATGGCTACAGCTGGGGAAGACACTGCTCACAGAATTAATTCTGCATCCTTGAATATAGAGCCACTTACCATATGGGACATGTGGAAAGCTCCAGTGCACCTGAGAAGGGCCAGAGAAGTTTTATGGAATACTTCTCATTAGCTCATATCTCAGCAGATCTGTAATGTTAGTATCAGTAGAAGTGTGACAAGAACCCTTTGGGGAGGACAGAACAATTCAGTGGAGCATTTCATCTGTCTCTTAACCTTATGTTATTCTCTACAGGGTCATAGCCATCTGGGGTAAGCTTTGCTCAAACTTTTCTCTACATTCCCTTGACAGATTATATGAAAGTTCAGAAGGGACAGAATCATGTAGTCATCGTAAGTTCTCTCATTTGGACCTTAAGTTCCAATTAGTACACAC